GTTTACCCTATCGATATTTTGTAAGCACCTTCGTCTCAATCAGGTGATTCGACACGGACGCTTGAATCGGGTTTACTAGTGCAGCAGACAAGTCAGTGTTCTGTCCTATCGTTTGTCTGCTCTGCCCTTGAAGACAATATCGTCATCCGACGGAATGCGACCGGCGGGTAAATTGAGATGAGAAGCAAAGAAACATATTATACCAAGCTGCTCTGTAACCACTGGTAGGTTTCTAGCCTGCTTTTGGATATTTATGAATAAAAAAAAAACGAATAAATAAAGTAAGGACTCATTCCCACTTAAATCATCGTTCTATACATAGACCAATCTATCTTCGCGGGAACTCTCGCAGAATCCAATCAGATTAACAGATTAACGCTCCTACTCCTAGCGCTGAGCAGAATACAGAACTGTTGGTGATTATATGAGTACATTGGAAACAATAGGAGGAGTGTTAATCTGTTTATCTGATTGCATTCAGCGAGAGTCTCTGCGGAGTTGGATCGATCTACGTAGAATGATAGTTTCATTGGGAATGAGCCCTCTTAAGTGTTAGTATGATACTACCATGTAAACAGTGAAATACATTTATATTAGCTGTATTTTTTAAAGACATACCTCAAGTACATAGGGAAAAGGATAAATTCCGCCGGTCAAGGGTAAATGTTTCCAGTGAATGGTTTACACTGGTGTGCGAGTTTCTTTTAACACTATCAATCTCTCGCTGTAATGATATATGTCAGACTTGTAACGGTAGTTGTCAGATGACAGCAACATTAATTTCGAAGTACAAAAGTCGTTTTTACATTTTTCTGGTGTCATAAGTCCCGGGCATAAGTCACAAAAAAGAGGTCTGCCCTTATTGTTTATACCAGCTAACTCATGTTGCGCACTCACTGCGTTTTATACGATCCGATTGAGTGATAGAAAGCAATGAATCTAGATATGTCTTGTCATTCAATTCTGCCCCGAGGGCAGTTCAAATACCAGCACCGCGTCCAGCTAAACGAACAATTTAACCCTCACTTAAATGTCACTTAGTAGTAGTTCTTTTAACAATTGGAAATGTTTAATCATAGTGCGTGTAAACACACCGAGATCGGTCATAACCTACGTGTGTGATATGGCTATATCTGAATTTTACTGTTATTGGAACGTTGCAAAGGATGCCCAATAAACAGTCCGATGTATTTTCTTAGGATCTAGATGCTAAATGTCTCAACTTATCACTGAAGGCAAAATCGCAGTACAGTTGCTTACCTTAATTCAGTAAAAAAAACTCTTTTCTCTCCCTCTCTGTAACCCTGTAGTTACACTAGCTCTGAACGTTACATATTGTTACAGCCTCTCCTCAGATTGTCTATTCCTGAGGCCGTAGCTCATTCACTAGGCTCTGTCGTTTGCAGCCAGTATTTGTATTGTTGTCCCAAGCGAAATCAGTGACATTTGGAAGCTATTGACTGGACCCAGAGAATGATAAGAGCTTATGAGCAGTTCGGCTCAGGGGATTGCTCCTATCTGAATAGGGTTGGCTCCGCTGTAGATACTGCTGCATTCAAATCTCAAGCAGTCCATTATAACGTTAATTTTTACTCACGGGATTTCTCCAGTCGTCGTAAAATCCTGGGTTTTATAGACTGACCACAAAGAAGCAATTGTAAAAACATCTATGATATTCAAAATAAATTGTGGAATTGTCCGATTTTTGTCAACCTTTCGAACCCGCTTTACATTTTATGTAAGGTTTGGCAAGCTCTTCCATTGAGGTTTTCCGTGAAAAAACACACTACACTGATTGTGACGTGGTGCATCTAATACAATGGGGGATCAACTGACACATTTGGAGAGAGAGAGAGAGAGAGAGAGAGAGAGAGAGAGAGAGAGAGGCCTACATTTTTATCCTTAAATCAAGTGCCTATACTAATTATATCGTCATATATGGCAAATTAATATAAAAATAAAATCAACATGAAAAGGACATAAAAATTCTAGAAATACATTTGTGTAAAATTTCTTACAATATATCATATAATTTTCTAAATATGAAGAAAAACTTTAAGAAAAAACGAATTAAATTGGAAACTGAGGTTCCGTGTACATTGACGTAATTGGGTCAAAGTATAGAACGGGGTTTGCCTGTACAAAGTACTGAGAATAATGACGTTACACATTTGAAAAAAAGATATATTTTAACTGGTAGTGTGGAAGATGGCAGACTGCTGATTGTGAATGGGATATTCTCTCGTTTTTTCAAAATAGGAAGAGGGTGTCGACAGGGTGACCCTGCATCCCCATATATATTTAATTTATACGCAGAAATAATAGGTATTTTTATAAAACATTAGAGGAATTGGTATAGAAGAGAAGAAATAAAATTATTACAATATGCCGATGATACAGTGGTATTTTTAGACGGCTCAGAGAAATCGCTAAAAAATCGCTAGACCTTTTGTTCCAATTTTCCAAATATTCCGGGTAAAAACCAAATATTTCCAAAACAAAAGCAGTATGTATTGGCTGAAGAATGAATAGTAAGGAAGTTCTGTGTAGAAATGAAAAATTAGACTGGACAAATGAACCTGTATCTGTTCTAGGTTTTACCTTTACAGCTGAACTTGATTGTATAGAAGAACGCAATTATAACATAAAGTTGGCTGTCATTAAAAAAGACATTAATAACTGGTCAAAAAGGTATCTATCCACCCTGGGAAAAATAAAGGTGGTTAAATCACCATTGATACCAAAGTTTACTTGTCTGCTCATGTCACTACCAGGTCCCAGTGCCCAATGGATAAAAGAGTTAAACTCTATTCTTTTCAAATTCATTTGGCATGGGAAAAATGATAGGGTATCAAGAAAGACAATTATTCAAGACTTCGAAAATGGGGACTGTAGAATGGTGCATTTGGAATCATACATTAAAGCTTTAAAATTAACTTGGATTCGCAGATTGCTATCGAATACTAACCAATACGGAAGGATTTTTACCGAAATTACAAGTTGTGACATGACGTCGCTCTGCCAGTTCGGGCCTGTATATGCGAAACAATGCGGGGAAACCACGACAAATTTATTTTGGAAAGAATTATTTTTATATTACTCACAGTATGCTAGCGTAATACAGGAAAATGACCCACAAGATTTTCTGGAGGCTCCATTGTGGTATAATCCGAGTATTTTGATCGAAAACAAGGCCCTATTCGTCAAACCACTATATGAGAAGGGCTTCCGGGTGGTGCTCGACTTGCTTGATTCAAACGGCAACGTGCTTTCATATAGAGAAATCACGGATGCATACAAAATACGCCTCCCATTTACAAAATATTTTGGCCTAAGAAATGCTATCTATAATGCATTTCCCAATTTAAAGGAATAACAGTTACACAGAAAACTTATAACCTGAAAATACCCAAACCGCTTATGATTATTTGGAAAAACAAAAAAGGCTGTAAAGCGATTTATGATACGTTAAGAAAAAAACTGCACGAAACCCCTAAAACTGAAATAAAATGGGAAAGGTTCTTTAATAAAGCAATAACATGGAATCTTAGCTACAATCGTCTCCTGACAGATATAAAAGAATCCAAACTCAGATGGTTTAAATTTAGATGTATTCATAGAGTTCTAGGGACAAAACACTTACCGTTCAAATATAAAATAGTTGATAATCCTCATTGCAATTTATGTAGCTCAAGGATGGAAACAATTGAACATCTATTCGTTGATTGTGATCTCGCAAAAACACTTGTGGAAGCAAATCGAAAACTGGTTTAGGGAAGAAAAGGGAGCCAATATTCATATTTCTGCATCGGATAATATTCTTGGAAACAATGATGAGAAATTGAATTTATTAATTTCCCAGGTAAAATATTACATTTACAGTATATCAAAAAATGGGGGACATCTGTCCTTCAGGGACATCTAATGCTATCTGTGTTAGAAAAAAATGCTGTGCTTATCAAAATATCTTATTTATTAATGAAAATGATGAGCCATCAGTAGTAGTTATGTGTGTATGTATGTGTGTGTGAGAGAGAAGTAAGCGAGGGGTATCAAAGAAGTATTGTATACTGTAATTTACATTTCTTAAGTTCAATAATAAAAAAAGACTGCTGATTGTGTTACATTGACGGAGTGCAGCTGCAACATTGTATATATTGATATTATTGTGTCGAGTTCCGTGGACCAGCTAGCACATTGAAAAATCTCTTCGGGTGCCGTGCCACCCTTGCAATTTGCCGAGTTTTAAAATATTCAAAGTTTCTCTTAGTTCTCTGTTGATTGCTGTTGTGGAATAGCGTATATTTGTAATGGTTTATGAGAAGTCTCATCAGTTTCTGCTGTCTGTTTCTTCTTTTCCCATACAGAAAGAAAGGCAGACGATGTCAACTGTTTAACCTTTGCTGCTTTATTTGACACTGCAGTCATATCACGTGGTGCTTCTGAATATAGCCTTTTTTTAACTTCAGGAAGTACATATTCACTATCACATACATCCCTGTTGGACTATGTCTTTCATAGGCTCTACATGGAATCATTTCCTCAGTTTTGTATGTAATGTTTCTCTGTATTTATTGTTGTATTTATTGTGGTCTCAGTTGCCTTTGTGGTTACGTCTAAGTCCATCTACTAGCCAGTCAAAAGATCACAAATTTCTTTCACCTGTTTTCCTCATGTTTTTTTTTCATTTTTGCTCCTTCTTTGGCCTCTTTTGCCTCAAATTATCAGCTTTAGTTTGCCTGCTATATTTTCTATATAAGTCACGATCAACTCTGTTTAATTAAAGCTGGCAACAGGCAGTACTTGGATTTCAAATGATGCATGTTTTCCTTGAAATATTCTGTAAAAAGAAATCATGAAAGCAAGTAGCATTTTATTTCGAGTAATAAATTAGGATAATATTTTTATTGGGGGGGGGGGGGGGGGGGNCCCCGTCACCAGCCAATAATAATCACGTCTGCTTGTAATAAAAGGGAGAAGCCATTCGTTCGAACGGACAATATTTTTGCTGATAAATTGCCATGTTCACTGCTGAACTTTCCTGAATAGGTAGCTGACACATCGCTATCTGAGAGCTCGGGTGTTGTCACGTTGCACGCTATCTATAGCTAACTGTTGATAAACAGTAACTGTGACAGTGTCGACAGGGTCTACAGGTAGCAGGAAGTTTTAGATGGGATAAATACTTTCACATTCCTTCTTCCAAGTCAGAATCAAACTTACACTTGTTGAGCTGTCTACATTTAATTTTCGGTTTTAAAAGGTAAATATGAATAAGGAAACGCCCTTAAATATTACAGTGAGCGACGAAGATAATGTCAGCGAGGATGAAAGTGATGAAAATGGCGATGAATTCAAACTAGGTATAGAACAGCTGAGACGCAAACTTAAAAATACGGAAGTAAAGGCTCAACGCCCAGTATCCAAGGATGATGGCTACGGTAGTCAGCGTTCATCGACAAGGTCGGACATCTCGTCTTGGCGACTATCTACACTGGAAGCAGACATCTCACCAGATGACGTCCTAGCCAGCGTTGGTCATGGAGAACAGAGCAAGACCGCGGAACCTTCTGTGGGAAGTAGTGGTGGGAGAGCTTCTTCCTCTCCGAATTTCAGTCGCCAAAGTAATTTCACCGCCACTGTAAAGGAGAGCCAAGGCGTTCACGTTGGGGACAAATTTAAGACCGTTAACGTTCACCACCACACCTACGGCCCTGGCTCGGTAGTGCACATTTACCAACAAGCTTCTACAGGTAACGACTTCGTTAATAGAAAAAACGGCCTTAATGAAATAATAAACAATAAGCTGTGAATTGATTCACGGAAATTTGAATTATCAAAATGCGTACATCTGTTTATTTGTTTACATCACTATGCTACACTGTATATTGTTTAATTCCAGATTATAAAATTTTGATACTCGTCTATTTACTTAAAGTATTCAAACATATGCTTTCACTTTTCAGAAGAAGAACAAGGTGCCACAGGCAAGGTGAAAAGAATTTCTGTGAAATTATTAAACAAAGAGGACTCAGGTCCCAACGGTGATACATTTTCCCAGGTTCTAAACCAGAAGATTGAGTCCAATTTTCACGTGAAAAACTGCAGAGTCATAGTTAAGCAGCTGCCGGCCATGTCTTTTGATATAGAAGCGGACGACGTCACAGCCGCCAAACTGACAAGCGACGTGGGGATGGAAAAGTTGAGAAATATTATCACTGAGATGCTGAATGACAACGCTTGTTTCGGGACGCAACTGGAAGGCCGAGAAATAAAAGTAGAAATAGTTTATGGATGAATTAATGTTGTTAGTTTTTAATATCCAGACAGGCTCAATACAACTGACACAAGCTAGTCCTATTAGGCTCAGGGACAGAATTACTGGCATCGACACACAGCTACTGTTACTCGGTACTACCCCAGATGAAGCATGTGCGAGAAAAGTGATAGAAACTGTAATTAAAGAGGACGCTACCATAATATGACCTATGTATATAGTATAATATAATATATCTGACTGCTTTTTCAAAGGAGAAGTACCATGATAAATTTAATGGTGGATCCTGGATATTAAAAAGGAGGCTGGCAAATTCTTTTGACACCTTCCGCTTCTTTGCTATATATTTTAATTTATTCATTTTTGGGAAGTGGATCAATTTGCAGCATATTGTAATAGTTTTATGGGGTAAAGATCAAACTCTGCTCATGTTGATTGGGACTGAGTCCATCATTTTGTTTTGGAAAAACCTCCCCACCCACTCGCCTATGTTTAGGGCCTGTTACAAACGGGACTTTCCAACTTTCAGGTTGAAGCAGGAAGGTCGGGAAGTTGACCTGTTTACACCAGGATTTACTTATTATCTCTAGACTTTACCCCTGACGGGACAATAAGGGGGAGCCTACTACACTATACTTCCTGGTCTGATGCGCTACATACGGCATTGTGAAATATCAAAGTTAATACAAAAGTTAATTAGGTATCATTTAATAATCAGAAGTATGCGACTTCAGATATGAAGAGATTTAATTTATGACGAGCGCACCAGAAGTTAATAAAATAAAAGTAATGGTATTATCTTTGTATTAAGTTTCACCCTATATAGTTGTAAGATATTCTTATTAAGCACATTTCTCTGGAATTCATATATCCTAGTTCGTATATACAGTATACTTAGAAGTAAAACATGCTGTGAGAGGTGATGAGTCGTATTGTAGAATTTTTGTATTTTGTCAAGTCGGCTATCAGTGTCAAGTCGGCTATCAGTGTCAAGTCTGCTATCAGTGTCAAGTCGTTTATCAGTGTCAAATAAGCTGTAATCTTGTCAATGTATTTACTCAGTCGTTTTTTTAATTAACCTGGAGGTCATTTATCATTCTAACTTTGCATGATATAATCGAGATTTACATTATTATATAAATGACTACAACATAAGTTTGGTTGTAGGCTACCACAATGTGTTGCGGTTTCTGTTTTTTGTTTTTTTTTACTGTTTACGTTGTTAATTTCTATAGTATTTGCGTCAAAAACAGTTAATGGGTTACTATCACCCGTATTCGACTATTTGCATTACAAAAAGAATTTCCTAAAAGGTCGAGATTGAATATGTAGAATTTGCGTCATAAACAGTTAATGGGCCTACTGTCACCCGTATTCGGCTACTTGTATTACAAAAGGAATTTCCTAAAATGTCGTGAATCAGGAAGAACAGAAGTTTACAAGTTTATATCAGGATCCTGGTATGAACCCCCACCCCCCCCCCCCACCCCCGAATAAACGAATCCAGACGTGAGAAACTGTAAACTGAAGGGCGGACCTTTTTAAAAATTCGGACAAGAAGTTCAATTCCAGCACACAGTACGCATGCGCCGTGTCTAAATAAATATGAGTGTCGCTTTCGTAATTTATACTTAACCCGTTTTGCGAGCGTTAAAATTAAACAATTAAACCTTCAATTCTCTTTTCGCCCACATTCCCCCTGGAAGCAAATCAAAGAGAAATAATCTGTGTCATGAAGAATTCGATCTTTATTGTTATTACTCGATATGAAGTGATCCGTAGGCTACTTTATGCTGGTGCATTGTCCTCTTCTTGGGGGCGTCTCGATAGTCAAAAGGTTCATTGGTCCGAAGGTTCATTGTTCCGAAAAGTGGTAACATTTTCATCGATTTTTTTTATCAAGGGTTCATTGGTCCAAACGTGAACATTCGGACTATTGAACCTTCGGACTATCGCTCTTTTCTCCACAAATGAGGGGGCCGTAGCGATAGTCCGAAGGTTCAATAGTCCGAAGGTTCATTGGTCCGAATGTTCACTATAGAAC